TCAAAATAAATTTGTGATATGGTCAAATTTAGTGTCTGATAATAATCAAAAGGCTGACCCATAGCACTGGTCCTATAACCAGTTAATTTATGTTTGTCCTGGTCAGACAAAATATTTTTAACTCTACACAAAAGTTTGTATAAAAATATATTAATCTAGAAGCCTTTAAAAACATTTTAAAAAATGTTTCAGGTTTGTTAACCGTATGTCATTCATGGTTTTACTGATTACCAAGTAAGTCAGAGCAATGGATAAGAAATACTTACCTGTTGGGGAACGTGGATGGCTCAGTTGGTAGAGCATGTGACTCCTGATCTCGGGGTTGTAAGTTCAAGCCCCACATTGGGTATAGAGATTAAAAATAAAAGTCTTAAAAAAAAAAACAAAAAAAACTTACCTGTTGCCCATAAGGAAATAGGAGGAGGTTTTAATGGAAATGATGAGGCTGGAAATTGTACCTGTGATGACCCAATGCTAAACTAATTTACTTGTTTTCTCATGTTGTTTTAGTGATACTGGATTTCTTATTTTTAAGGGGTGGTCTCTACCCCCTTTTAAAACAGGGAAAATGTAGTCATGGGTAGAGGGAAGGAGGTGAGAATGGCTCTAGGGTAATAATTGTCAGTATTGAGGATTAGAATAACAAAGGGCAGGAAGGTAGGTGACAAAAAGAAATGCTTACTTCCAGGGAAAAATATATGAGTACACACAAGGATAGAAACAGCCTCAGTGTTTTATAGAGGAAGGCAGAGATAAATCATGGCATCTCAGCTCAGTGGATCAGGCAGCTGTTAAAATGATTAGAAATGAAGACCTTGTAGCAAAACAATTAGTATTTTAAAAAAAGTTAAGTGAGGGGCGCCTGGGTGGCGCAGTCGGTTAAGCGTCCGACTTCAGCCAGGTCACGATCTCGCGGTCCGTGAGTTCGAGCCCCGCGTCAGGCTCTGGGCTGATGGCTCAGAGCCTGGAGCCTGTTTCTGACTCTGTGTCTCGCTCTCTCTCTGCCCCTCCCCCGTTCATGCTCTGTCTCTCTCTGTCCCAAAAAAATAAATAAACGTTAAAAAAAAATTTAAAAAAAAAATAAATAAATAAAGTTAAGTGAAAAAACATTATATATTTTTATCTACCCTATGTACATAATTACATAGAATCATATGTACATTTACAGGGAAATATAGGAAAATGAGAATTGTGGGAAGCAGTTTTTGTAATTTTGTTGTAGTTTTTGTTATAAATACTGTGCTATAAAAATAGAGAAAAATGTGGGGCACCTGGGTGGCTCAGTCGGTTGAGCGTCCGACTTCGGCTCTCACAGCTTGTGGGTTCGAGCCCCACGTCGGGCTCTGTGCTGACAGCTGAGAGCCTGGAGCCTGCTTCGGATTCTGTGTCTCCCTCTCTCTCTGCCCCTAACCCACTCGCATTCTGTCTCTGTCTCTCTCAAAAATAAATAAACATTTTAAAAAAAAAAGTTTTTTTTTTTTAATAGGGAAAAATGCAAAGAATGTGTTCAACTCAAGTATGAAAAACAAAATAAAAAAGGAGAAAAAAGTGCTAACTGGTCATTTACACAGTTATTTACTAAGTCATGGAATTTTTGACCTGAGAAGTCTAGCTCAGCAGTTCTCAAACTTTTTGGTCTCAGGACCTCTTTACAATAAAAATTATTGAGGACTCCAAAGAGCTTTTGTTCATGTGAGTTATTTCTATTAATAGTTCTATACTAGAAATTAAAATTGAGAAATTAAAGATATTGTCGTGTAAAAATAACAATGAGAAGTCTGTTGAATCTTAAATGTTTTTATGAAAAAAGGTATATATTTGAAAACATTTTTATGAAAAAAAGCTATATATTCGAAAACATATTTTTATGAAATAAAGCTATATATCCCAAAACAAAAAAAATTTAACAAGAATGCCATGGTTCTACATTTTTGCAAATCATTTTAATATTTGGCTCAGTTGAAGATAGCTGGATTGTCCTATCTGCTTATCCTTTCAATCTGTTGTAATACGTTGTTTTAGTTGAAGTGTAGAAAGAAATCTGGCCTCGTGTGGCGAGGAGTTGGGAAAGGGAGGAGTGCTGTAGTAGCTTTTTCAGATGGTTGTGAATCTGCCGCCTTGCCTCTGGAATGCCCACTGTTTGCCTATAAGAGAATGAGATTGAAAAGGGCAAATAATGTCTGAGAATTCTATGAAAATAGCCCCAGCCTCAGGGACTCATTGCAAATGTTTTAGGAACCAACAGGGCAGCTTCTGAACACACTTGAGAACTACTGCTCTACCCTTTGATAGGTGACAAAACTGAAACCAGAAGGGTAAGCGATTTTCCCCAAATCACATGGTTTATTGAAGATACTACTGGGACACAGTTCTGGTTTCATTCCTCATGATTTTGGAGGACTTCACATTACAGTATGACCTTAGAACAACTTTTGTAAGCTGACCCTGAGCATTTTTATCAGGGTCTAATGAGATGTCATATATAATTGTTCCTTTTCATCTTGAAGATTAAAAAAGAAGCCTCCATGATAGGTGAGTCAAAACTTTTTAGAGAAAGTAGCATTAGAATTACAGGTAGACTTGTAAAAATTAATTTTAATATTATATATAAAATAACAAATTAGATATAAAATATATAGAAATATTAATTAAAACATTTAAGTTTTGGTTGCTACCTCTTGCTAGCTAAAAAACACTTCTTAGTATCTTCTTTCTCAGTAATGTTACGGGGACACTTTTCATTTTTTTGTTGCTTTGTTACAGTTATGTGCATATCCATAGGAAGAGGCATTTTCTATATCTGGACCTCCATTCAAATGTTTGGTGACTTTCTGGTTTTGTTTTTCATGTTGTTCACTCATTCCTCCGAGATTCCACTGAGGTGTGAGAAACGTTAGGGACTTGGATGCCTGAGATGGAAAACACTTTGGAAAACTTTATTTGGCCTAATTGAGTAGATATTTTTCAAATTTCACCCACGCACGGGTATCTATAAAGGGCCTTTGTATGGTAGGTTCTTACTATCATCACCCTCATTCAGCCCTTTGGCTCACCCCTTCCCTCCCTCAAGTCAGTGTTGGCCTCCAGCCTCTGTCCTGAATCTGAGGCTTTCCTTCCTATTTCTTCATCTTTTTTGAGTTTTATTGCAAAAGCCTTTCTTGCTCTACATCTCTACTTTATCCTCCCTTTTCTGTTCCCTACTTACCAGTTTTTTTTTTAAGATTATTCTTAATAAGAATTGTCTCCAATTTACATACAATGAAATCAAGATTCTCATAGTTGCCAAACAGATACACAGAAGTGAGTCTGTAGTCTCCTGTTTGCATGATGGAACCATCACTGCAAAGGTGTCACGGTGGATCAGATACAAATGCTGGAGGTTGCCATCCTCCTGACTAGCCACCCCGGTGCCTTCACTTGTTGCTCCCAATTTGAGGTGAACAGATTAGTGGTAAAAATCACTTGTTTTATAATGTACTGGCAAAATCTTTGAGTCGGCTCTAACCAATTTTGTCCTTTTTTTTTTTCCTTCCTGAAATAAAGTATTTTAAAGTTTTATGGGGAAACACTCCATTTCATATACCCTGTTTTTCACCTCAAGAAAAGGTGGTAGGACTGAGAACGTAGTTACTTGGGAGAGTGGGATGAGATTCTGGGTGCCTTTTGGTGTCCACATGCTCCAGTCCTCATTCCCTCCCCCTGCCTTTGAATGGTGGGACCAGGGCTTGTTAGAAAAGCACTACTTACTGGGCCTGTATCTCCTGCTCTCCTGTGTTCACCCTTTTGTCTCTGCCCTTCTTTAGGAATAAAGTTGGAAGTGGAGGCCTCTGTGTCCAGGTTATAATCACAGAGCTCTCCCATCTAGTTGTAAGACATTCCTCTTTCCTCCTTTTTTCTTTCCTTTTGTGGAGCAGGAAAGGTGCTTTGTGGGTTAGAGGAAATAAGGAAAATTCATTAATTTGAAAAATTTTGATAATCTGTTCTATCTATATCTCATGACTCTATTTTTTCTAAACTGTTTTCTCATTTTTTTTTGTATCCAGTGGACTATAATTATACCAGTGTTTCACATACAGTGAAAGCTTCGTATGTATTTGTTTAAAAGAGAGAAATAAAGATGAAACAAAAATGCAGTCTAGCTGGGGAGATGATGTAATGGGGGGGTGATGGACATTGGATGTTTAGGCTCTAATTTCGTCCAATTCTTCCCTTTAGTTTTCTTTCTTTCTTTCTGTACAAGAAAGTTGTTAAATGATGTTTAAGAGTGTTTGCCCCTCACTGCAGTATTTATTTAGTGATAACACACCAATGTTATGAAATGCTGGAGATACGGTAAACAATAAATGGAGTAGTTCTGCTTTCACTGATTTTTTTTTAATGTTTATTTATTGTTTTATTTTGAGAGAGAGAGAGTGAGCAAGAGCAAGCATGGGAGAGGAGCAGAAAGAGAGGTAGAGAGAATCCCGAGCAGGCTCCACACTGTCATTGGGGAGCCTGACTTGGGGCTTGATTCCATGAACGGTGAGATTATGACCTGAGCCAAAATCAAGAGTTGGACACTTAACCACCTGAGCCACCCAGGCGTCCCTCACTGATGTTGTTTTATAATAAGGTGTGGGATGTCTGTCTCCCCCACTGGTTAATAATAGTAGTTTGAAGGACAGCTGAGTTCCTATGCTGGCTTTGTGTCCTATTTGAGTAGGACCTTCACAAGTCATATAAACGCTTCTTTATTTTCTCATCTGTAATATGAAGTTAGTCATAATACCTAACCTATTTACCTGGTACAGTTGTTTTAAGACTCAAAATAATGTGTGTGGAAATGCATGTGACTATTGTAGTGACATACAGTATGTTGCATTGTCTCTAGTAATGTAAAATATTGTATTTTGCTATGGACTTTCACAAGGAATTCATTACAACTTGGGAGAATTCTAGATCAACGTAATTTTGGAATTCATCAATAATATAAAGTATGTTTGCTCTTCTTCTCTTTACAGAAAAAGATCATGCTAAATATGTTTTTAGACACAATGATGGCCGATCCTCCCCCCCAGTGCCTTGTCTGGCTACCTCTCATGCATAGGCTTGCCCATGTTGAGAATGGTAAGCGGAACTTTTATCATTCAGTTTCTTGTGCTATAGGAAATACACGAGCTGATAGTATTTTGTAATGTCCTTAGCGATTGCCATTGAAAATTATAATTGGCATTTGTTGTCACTCTGTCATTTGGATTTGTGATTTTAGCTTTCAAAAGAGGGATATTTCTTTCTTTTTTTAAATTACAAGTTCATTTATTTTTTTAATGCTTATTTTACTCTTGAGAGAGAAAGAGAGAGAGAGACAGACAGACAGAGCATGAATGGGGAGGGGCAGAGCGAGAGGGAAACACAGAATCTGAAGCAGGCTCCAGGCTCTGAGCTGTCAGCACAGAGTCCAATGCGGGGCTCAAACCCACGAACTGTGAGGTCAGACACAGGTGAAGTCAGACACTTACCCTACTGAACCACCCAGGCGCCTCGATGGATATTTATTTCTTAAAGAAAAGTAAGGGAAGGGGACTTATTACTTAGGGTACCAAGAAATAGTAGTATCAAACTTTGTGGTTCACACTCTTGGCTTTTCCCCCTGAGATTTCAGGTGATTGTTTTCTACTTGAACCGACCTGATTTACCCATGCCTTCCTTTTTTCCTTTAACTTATAAAATTCATAGTTCTAAAAAATTGCATATATGCAGTATCACCCACTAAAATTATAATGCTTTTAGAGTAGTTTCAAGGAGAATAGCTAAGGTAGGATTTGGTACTTCATACATCTTTACTTCTTCCTTTACTATTTTACCTTGAATTACTCTTGGTATCTTTTCCAGGAATTTGACTAAATCTGTTTTGCTTAAAATGACAGTTATCTCTTAGTAACTTCTTAATTTTTTCTTCTGCTGTTATCCATTTATCTCATTGTTTAGGTTGTCTAAGTTTGTTAAAGGAAAGGCTGAAGTTTTTTGTGTAACCTCCCTCCTTCCTGTCCGGGCCTTTGCCTATATCTTATTCCGCCAAAGAGAACCAGTAACAAGTGAAAGGAGCTAAAAAGCAGAGCCCTTTTTCCCTTTGTAAGAATGAAATACACGTCCATACTCTTTTTATCTTCTCTCTGTCCCATCCATATCTTCTGTTTTTATTTTTTTTTTTCAAACGTTTATTTATTTTTGGGACAGAGAGAGACAGAGCATGAACGGGGGAGGGGCAGAGAGAGAGGGAGACACAGAATCGGAAACAGGCTCCAGGCTCTGAGCCATCAGCCCAGAGCCCGACGCGGGGCTCGAACTCACGGACCGCGAGATCGCGACCTGGCTGAAGTCGGACGCTTAACCGACTGCGCCACCCAGGCACCCCGATATCTTCTGTTTTTAAACCTCTCAGCCTTTTGCCCCACTGTGGCTTTAGTTCACAGGTACCTTAGATTCAGGATTATTTTCCTAAAGGTCTAGAATCTCTTGACTAAACTAAAACAGTTAAATAATTTTTTAACAAGATTTTTGGATAGAGATTTATACTGTTAAATTATTACAGTATTATTAGTTCTTTTGGAGGCAATACTTTTAACCTGAAGTGTTTTAGTACTTTTATATTCAATTTGTTTTCATGAAATCATTTTGTATTTGCTATGCCAAGTAGAAAGAATCTCTTTTGTTCTGATTTTTTTGTTATCATTGTGAACATTTTACTGTTACTTTGTGTATAGTGTATTACTTGTTGATTACATTCTTATGAGGTTAGTGATATTTTCCTCAGCGACAGAGAAATAGTATGAACTCATTGCAATATCTTAAAAATAAAACATGTTATCTATCATGGTAACATTTATCTACATATCTTAATTTTTATGGCAGGAAGTAAATTCTAAAACTTTGATATTTCTATATATTTCTATATGTTATTTTTGTTGTTGTTTGGGCTTTTTCTATGGAATTCATCGCTGGAATCATATTGAAGTTACTATTAATAAGGACAGATATCTATTTGCTTAAGCAGAAGTTGCACTTTTTTTATTGAAAAATCCAAGCATATAATATATAAGAAGATACAACATGATGTATTCTTCCAAAAAGAATACTTTTACCAAAACTTGATCTTATTTATAATTGACCCAGTACATAGGTGATCCTTTCCTTAGTCTGGCTCTGCTTTCCATCTGGTCAGCCCCTTATACTATCTAATGTAAGTGTTGGCTCTTGACTGGTGTAGAAGAAAAGAAAAATCACATAGACATGCATATTCATCCAAGATTGTCAGAATATACTTGATAATTTAATATTAATATGTATATATTTTTAATTTTTTTGAATGTTTATTTATTTTTGAGAGAGAGAGAGAAAGAGAGGGAGACAGAGCATGAGTGGGGGAGAGGCAGAGAGAGGGTGACACAGAATCTGAAGCAGGTTCCAGGCTCTGAGCTGTCACCACAGAGCCCGATATAGGGCTTGAACTCATGAGCCGTGAGATCATGACCTGAGCTGAAGTCGGACGCTCAACCGACTGAGCCACCCAGGTGCCCCTATATATTATTTAATATTAACTGAAAGTTATATAGAATTATAAATTCTGATATGCTGATGTTGACTGTGTTGATATTAGCTCCAGATTGATTTGAGAGTAGTGTTCTTTGGTGGAACTTTACTAGATTGTATAGTTTTAATTTGGAGCACAGAGTCTTATCAGCACTTTCATTATTCCTTAGAAATATCTTGATGACAAAATGCTTGAATTTCTAAATTTTTTTTTTCTAACGTTTATTTATTTTTGGGACAGAGAGAGACAGAGCATGAACGGGGGAGGGGCAGAGAGAGAGGGAGACACAGAATCGGAAACAGTCTCCAGGCTCTGAGCCATCAGCCCAGAGCCCGACGCGGGGCTTGAACTCACGGACCGCGAGATCGTGACCTGGCTGAAGTCGGACGCTTAACCGACTGCGCCACCCAGGCGCCCCACAAAATGCTTGAATTTCTTAGAGGAATTATGTCCTTTGGAGTTCTTATTCCTGATTTTACTTTTTATAGTCTTTAATGATCTTGTTACATTGTTTTCTTCACCAAGTGCTCCTTTCTTTTCCCCCCTGAGTCTTGGTGTACATTTTTGGAAACAGAACCCAAAATCCTTATTTTATTTTTTTGAGAGAGAGAGAGGGTGCAAGTGAGCGAGGGGCAGAGAGAGAGGGAGAGAGATGTGGGGCTCACTCGAAGTGGGGCTCTAGCTCACCTGATGTGGGGTTCAAGCTTACCTGAAGTAGGGCTTGAACTCACGAACTGTGAGATCGTGACCTGAGCCAAAGTCAGATGCATAACCGACTGAGCCACCCAGACGCCCCCCAAAACCCTTATTATTGAAATAAGATTGGATTTGTATACATATTGCTAGAAAGAGTTATTCAAATGAAGATTTGAATACTGTATGCCCTTTTCCTATTGACTTCCATTTCTTGTGTTCAGAATTGAATTGCCAGAGGGAACAATTATGTTACCAACACTTAAAAGAATAAACAACTGTCTTTAATATACAGTTATGCATTGCCCACTTCCCACTCACTGAACTGGATGTTCAGGCTGTTAGAGAATCCCAGCAATCTCTATGAATCCTGACTGCTACCTGGCAGGTTTGCATAAGGTGACATGCTGTATGAACGGAGAAAAGGGTGACAGGTCCCTAAGATTCCCTTCCTCCAAATCCCCGCTGCTTTGTTGGTCTAGAGTACTTTATTTTACTGTTTTGCTACTTAGAACTCTTACCTAAAACTAACATGGTAATATGTCTAGCCTTACTTTTTTTACCAGTAACCACAAACTTGTGCCCAGGCATGTTGTAGCATTTAGTTCAGCCAACATTTGAAGGCCTTCAGTTGAAGGTACTGTGTAAAATACCATTTTCAGGTAATAGAGACCCGTAGTGTATCATTCCAGGTGTTATTAGCAAAGGAAACAAATGTCTGTACAGCTGACAATGATAAATCTCTTTAAAAAGCAATGGGTTTGAAAAATAAATTTTAGACTGAAAGTTTCTCTTCTTATATATTTATCTGAATTTGAGAAGCATGAGTCTCGTTTTAAAGAAATTGGTTATTTTCTAAGGTGAATTGGAAGGTAATATTCTTCTCTTTAATGTTTATTTATTTATTTTGAGAGAGAGCGAGCAAGCACGCATGCACATGCAACACATGAGCAGGGGAGGGGCAGAGAGGGAGGGAGACAGTCTCAGCAGGTTCCATGCTTAGAGTGGAGCCCGACAGGGGGCTCAATGTCACCGCCAGGAGGTCACGGACTAAGCCTGTATCAAGAGTTAGAGGCTTAACCTATTAAGCCACTGGGCACCCCTGGAATGTAATATTGTAACTTGAAAAACTTTTCTCATTTATCGTTTTCCCCCCTTATTCTAGTAAATAGCGGCTCAGTTAACTAGGAGACGCTTCAGAGTTTTCAGTGTTAGTGTTGTTTTCACTTTTGCTTTTTTGCATCAGGTGTGGTTTTCCAGTGTATTGACTTGACTCTCCGAGTGAAAGTAAGATAACTTGCTTCTCCTCCTCTCCCGCCCCTTCTCCCCTGCCCTGCTGTCTGCCTGCCACAAGTCTTCCACCCCGTGGAGTGCTCCTATTGCCGGTGTGAGAGTATGATGGGCTTCCGGTACCGATGCCAGCAGTGCCACAACTACCAGCTCTGCCAAAACTGCTTTTGGCGTGGCCACGCCAGCGGCCCTCACAGCAACCAACACCAGATGAAGGAGCACTCCTCCTGGGTAACTGCTTCGTGTGTCAGTCCGGGTCCCCTGCTGTTCATCTTTCATCGCCAACAGCACCAGGAGGGTTTCCCGATAGGTCCCTGGCAAAGAGGGACGTGGTGCAGTCAGATCTAGGTGCCAACACTTGGGATGGGTTGCGAGCGTGTTGCACTTCATCACCTGATTTTAAAAGCAGAATCTTTAAAGTTTCAGGAGCTGGAGGTATTATTACAGTTGAAATGGAAAAGTAAGCGAGAAGTGTCTTCTTATTTTAAAACTGTGCAAAGGGTATTCTCCCAAAGCTTCCTCTCTGAGCTTTACGTGGGATTGAAAGTTCTTTTTTTTAAAGCATATTTTCTTCACGTCTGTAGGGCTTAAATGGGGTAAAGAAAGCTGCATGAAATAAAGGGGTTAATTTTTGTCTCTCTGAAGTTGGGGAAATACTGTATTTTACAGTTGCCACATCAGTGTCCTTATTTTCAAAAGTAGTCTTTTATTTTTATTAAAAAAAATTTTTTTTAACGTTTATTTATTTTTGAGACAGAGAGAGACAGAGCATGAAGGGGGGAGGGGCAGAGAGAGAAGGAGACACAGAATCGGAAGCAGGCTCCAGGCTCTGAGCCATCAGCCCAGAGCCCGACGCGGGGCTCGAACTCCCGGACCGCGAGATCGTGACCTGGCTGAAGTCAGACGCTTAACCGACTGCGCCACCCAGGCGCCCCAAAAGTAGTCTTTTAAGTAACAGTATTTGGGTGGAGGTTGATGTGTGATTTTCCTATAGTGTTTACAAATCATGCAACAAGCTTAGCATCAATCATTTTTCTTCCCGTCTCTCAATTTATTTTCAGAGTCTTAAAAATGCCATATATTTTTTTAATGTTTATTTTCGAGAGAGAGAGAGAGAGAGAGAGAGAGAGAGGGGTGGGGAGCAGGGAGGGGCAGAGAAAGAGGAGGACTGTTCACTGACTGCAGAGAGCCCGATGTGGGACTTGAACTCACGAACCATGAGATTATGACCTGAGCCGAAGTCAGGTGCTCAACCGACTGAGCCACCCAGGCAACCCCCACAAAATGCCGTACTTTTATTTCCAAAAAGTTGTTTTAAAAACTTTTCCCTCTGGTTTTCATTTGTTGGTTGGTTGGTTTGCTAAAGGGTAGAACATATAGAGGGTCATAAGTGTAATTCAGGATTTAGGTTCTTACCCTTGGTCATCCTACTGGACTTTAAGTATTTAGAAAGCTTCAATAATCAGGATTTTTTTTTTCTTTCCCTTTTTTCTAATTAGTCTTTTTAAAACTCAACCAAGAACAAAAAGAAGGTAAGTTCATATCAGGGATTAGTTAAAAAAAAAAAAAAGAACAACTTTCAATCCATGTGTGCACTTTACTTCCTACATCTCTGACATGTTAGAGGTAGTTTTTTGTTTTTTGTTTTTTTTTTTTATCAGATAGGTTTTCAGTTACACTTAACCATAAAATTTGTGTTAAACTGAACATCCTATCTGGGGTTTTGTTGTGTTGTAAATTCTAATACTGTTTTTGGTTGAGGAGTGATTATTTAAAAATTTTTTAAACAAGCAAAGGAAAAAAATACAACATAGTAGTCTCTTCCCTTTTTCATTGAATAGAGATAATTTATAGATTTCCAAGTTGTTGCTTTTCCCTTTCTTAAAGTACAAGTGTCCCTTGGTGGTAAATGATTTGTTAATGTTTTTCCCAATGTTTTTTGTTTAGAGTCTAACTCTCAGCACTGAGATAGCTCTTTGCTCTGTTACCTTTTGTAATGATTGGATTCGTTGGGATGTTTCTTTTGATAATTCTCATCTACATGTTGGGCTAGAGAATGAGGAGCTTGGGGTGCCTGGGTAGCTCAGCCAGTTAGGCGTCCAACTTCGGCTCAGGTCATGATCTTGCGGTTTGTGGGTTGAGCCCCACATCGGGCTCTGCTGACAGCTCAGAGCCTGGAGCCTGCTTCAGATTCTGTGTCTCCTTTTCTCTCTCTGCCCCTCCCCCGCTCACACTCGGTCTTTCTCCCCTTCAAAATAAATAAACATTAAAAAAATTAAAAAAACAGAGAGAGAATGAGGAACTTGTTCATCTTAATTTGAACTTGATCATTTAGCTAATTTATAACCCTTTTAGAAATGGGCATTTTACATTTTTTAAAATATAAGTGACTGAATATTGCTTTATGATTTACAAAGCAGGTTTTCCTGTGCTTTATTTCATTGAGCAAAAGCATACATAAAGTACAGAAATCACAGTGAATTTTTGTGCTTCTGCTTGATTCTCATAACACTCTTGTGTAGTAAGTCATATCCCCATTTGTTGTTATTTTTATTTCAGCTTTGTTGTTTTTTAAATTTTATTTATTTTTGTTATAGTGACTTAAGATTTCAAGAAAAGTCATGAACAATACGCATGCATCATTTTGAAGTTGCTATCTGTTTTGAATTTTGATGAGTATGTGCATTATGTGTGATTGATGCATCTTGGCAACGTTTTTTAGCAGTGTGTGTGTGTGTGTGTGTGTGTGTGTGTGTGTGTGTGTATGTGACTTGTTTTCAGGATTAGAACTCTGTATGTATAATACCCTTGCTCTTTGAGGAAGATCTGAATGAATTTTGAGACTGATGTGGGTAAAGAAGTTTCCACTAACAAAAAGATGTGTAATCTCTTTAATAGTCATTTCTTTGACATTTGCCAACTGTGTTTATACGAGTATTTGAATAACTATTTCTCTGTGTTCACAAGGGATAAATTTAGTGTACGTTTAACAAGTTTGTATATGAATTTGCATTGTAGATTGATAGGTGTTATATTGGTGCTTGGAAGTTTATTTTGATTTTTCCAAAAGTTTGTTTAATATTTTGTCTAAGTAACTATGAAATGTAATTCATTATTCTGTCAGGCATCAATCCATTCATTTGACTTTACTTTAGAAAAAAATGCTATATGGTGATTCATTCTGTGCATTCAAAAGATATTATTTGAACTCATGCTGTGCGTACCAGGCACTATTACAGGCGTATGAGATAGGTCTATGAACAGAACCGGACAAAGATCCCTACTCAGTGGGGCTTGAATTTTAAGGGGTGTGAAAGAGACCATGAGGGCTCACTGACATTGCTCTTTTCCCATTTTTGCTTGGCATGCATCTAGACTACATTTCTCAGCTTCCCTGTATCTAAGAAAAACCATGTAAATACCAGTTATCAGTGGAATGTGAACAGAGTGATATGTGTCTTCCCAGAATAAGGCCATTAATAGCTGAGGGCCTTTTCTGTCCTCTCTACCACAACTTAGGGGAGAGAACTTCATTAGGACCCAGAGGAAGATGAAACCATAAATGAAAGGAAACTGGGTCCTTGAATGATGGGTGGAGAAGAATATCCTGCTACCCTGCTTGACTTTGATCAAGAGAGCTAGGAGCAAGAGAGAAACCTTGTGTTAAGCTACTGAGGTTTTAGTGTTGGCTATAGTAGCTGGTTCTGGAAGTAAGTTCTATTACAGCAAAACCTTGAGATTTGTGTTGTTGGCTTAGCAGTCAGGTAGCCCTGATAAGGACACCAATGTTGGAGGTGGGAAGGACAGAAATCTATGTTATGCAGTGGTGACCAGTGGCTAAATTTGTCATCCATAATAACTTAGAAGGTCCACTTCTTGCCACCTGAGCTCTGGGTCAAATGTTGGAAAGGATTGAAGTGCGAGTGTGTGTTGACTGTCTTTTGTTAGGTCTTACACGAAAGAGATGAGCTTAAGAAAGAATTGTCTAGTTTTCAAGCAAAAAATGAAAGGGAATAGAGAAAGTTCTGACAGTTGGAGCAGGAACTGTTTTCTGACAGGAAAAACAGATTGCTTGTAGACCCTAGAGAGCAATAGGTAAGAGTTGAGAAAGGCTTTGAGCCACAAAGGCCTAGTGAACCTTCTCAGTCAAAGAAAGATGACAGTCCTATGGCAAAGATCGGATCAGGGCATGAGTTCTCATTCTTGGCTGTTCATCAGAATTACCTTGCTCTCACTTACATAGCTTCTGATTTAATGGGTCAAAGGTACATGAAACCTAGATAAGACAGTTTTTAAAAGTTCCCTCAAGTGATTGCATCGTGCAGCCAACGTTGGAAACTGCTGACCTGTTGTTTCATCTGGACTCCAGGTGGCTTCTGTTAGTTCAAAGCGAGAGGAACGGAGGCAAAGACATAAATCAGCCTTAAGAATTATGTCCAGGAAAGGACTTTGTGTGCGGTTACTGGCACATGGAACTGACTGGAAACAAATAGATCAAAGGCCTACTAAGTTTTTGAGGGAATTATATATTGGCAAAGGAACTAGGAGCCTGCACTTAACAAGCCCCTGACTGTTCTAACTGTAAGACTACTTTCTAACGACCCAGAACTTGCTCTGGGAAGAGGTGGTCTGTGAAGGCTGTACGGCCTCTAGGAAGGGCATGCCAGAGCCCACTTTGCCAAGGAGGATATTAGATAAGGAAGAACCTTGTGCTTGTGCTCCTCCATTGTGTGTTGGGCCTGGGGAGGGTGAGTGTGGATCATGTGCCCGATCCGTTCATAGGGTCCATCATTTGGAGCTACGCATGATCCTGATGAAGAAGACTGTGATAGACCCAGACGTCCTGGACTTGTCTTTAGATGCACGGACTGAGTGGCACTTCACATTTTCTTTTTGGAGAGGTTTGAGTGTGTTTTGTTTGTAGGAAAAGGGAGGAAACGTTTTGTGATCAGAAGTACTTATCTATATCCATGTTTTGCTTTTCTTCCTGGACCTGTACCTGGATGATCTAGCCCGTCATCCATGCAGCCTGACACGGCCATATGACTAGTTCTGACCGGTGGGATTTGTTTGCAGGTGATCTGTGTTACTTCTGGGTCAGGGCTGTTTAAAGCAGATGTGTCTCATCTTCTCTTTACCCTTCCCACTCCCACTAGACATTGGCCACATGGGATGATCTTTGAAGAAAGTAATAGCGGCAGAAGCCCTTGAATGAAAGGGAGCTGGGTACC